AACGTCTGTTGACTTTGCCGCCCCTTTTAAAGAACACACACACCCCAGTTGGCGGATCTCACACATCTTTCTCTTTAACAGACATGCTACAAGGCTCTCTTTGTTGGCATGTCCGTGGTTCTTCCCTCCTCCATTAGACACTAATTAAAAGCCTGACACCACTGCCTGCTTCCTTTTTTTTCCATGGGTGAGAGAGACACTACATCTTTCTATGTAGGGCTCATATTTATACCAATGTGTACTGACTGTGGCAGAAGTCCTTGTTTCTGTATGTGAATGGACAAAAAAGAGAAACAAGTGCTCTATTGTACCGATTAAAAACTAGTTTAAAAAAAACAAAAATAAGTGAGTCCCTGTATCATTGTATCTCCTATTCTGGATTATTAGTGCCTTTTTGGACAGTAGACTGTTCTGTAATTAAATTGTAGTATAACAGCTTTTTTGTACAGTTTTGTTTTAATAAACTTTTTTTAATTTGTGTTTATTTTAGTATTGTACCTACTAGAAAATTAAAATGTATAACGGAAAACTCTTGTTTTGGTCCTTTTATGCCTGCGGAGAAAAAGTTGTCTGCTTCATTGCACATTGGGAGGCCTGCCAATTCATGATGTTCCCGGGAATCGTTCATGTGTCTGCGTGTGATCCCAGAACGTGTGCAGAATGGAGCGGTGTTTGTAGGTTCACCAGCAAAGGAACAAGAAGCAATTCACTTGTGCCCCCTTTCCCAGAGCCGAGGGTGGCTGGCATGTCCTTTGGAGAGCTGTGGTGTTTGCCAGTGTCACAGTACACAAGTGCAGGTGCTTAGGGGGACATGATCCATAACTCACTGGAGCCCCATTGATGTTGGTGGCTCTGCTCTAAGCGTGGCCGTAGCTGGCTTGTAGGAGCCACGAACAGAAGGAAAGGCATTTCGTGGCATGTGCCGGCATCAGCTCTGTGCACCAAGCCAGGCCCGCCCGACTAATTTGACCGAGGCTGGCCAATGTGGTGATGGTCTTGTTTTTCCTCAGCCCGGCTCCACAACCTCCACCGGGGTAGGAAGACAAAGCAGCAATTCTGGCTCACTTTCACACAAACAGAGATGGGTGGGGTGTGTGTGGTGTGTACAGTTCACTATAAAGATTGGTGCTGGAATGACTTCTGCAGCTCCACCTGTTGCAGCCTGGCTCTTACACGGTATGAGCCAGCATTTAGTTCAGCGTCACCTTCCGAGTTTGCCTTTATAGCTCGTCTGAAGGGCAAGAAAGCATCGTTCATGTACTTAAGACCTGCCAGGGCATGAATCAATAAAAATACTGAAGCAAAAGCGGGTCCTTGTACCCTGTGCAGTGGCGCACGATCACAGGAGACAAGAAATATGTTAGGCAGACTTTGACATTCAGAGTGTGCCTCTTTTAAAGTGTGAGAGTGCCCAGCCATGATTGACAAGAAAACGGTGTTTGGAAACAGCTGTCACATCTCAAAAAGCAGAAAGTGGAGTGGCAGGCGGAGGTAGGTATACATTGGGCATGGCGTGGTTCTGTTTGAGCCATTTACGGAAAACCACATCGCTTGCACCACCATCAATTCTGCAAAGCTCTGGTTAAGAAATTGGAAGGAAACAGAAGAGGCAAGGAGGTTTGACGGAAAGATGGCATTTATTTAGATGACATACAACATGTCACGGATATGGTACAATATTACAAGTTTAGTATAATACAAGAGAGCATTAAAAACTTTACATTTCATTACAAGAATCTTTGGATTTTAGCGCATTTAAAAAGGTACAACCAAGAGTAATTTTCAATATCAGTCTAAACGTGTTTTTTATATACATCCTTCCTACCTTTACAAGATCACAGAATCATGACACAAATCAACAGAAAAGAGCATTCTCAAAGGCTGCTGAAAACATCAGCGGGAACTTGTGTCCAAGTCAGTTAAGGAATTGGGGGTTGCTTTGCACTGGCTGGACCAGATTGCGGGGCTGGGGGGGGGGCACCAGGGAGGGGGTGTCTGTCAGAATAAGCCCTAGCAGCCACTTCAGAGTCAGCTCTGAGGTTGAATTTGCTGTCAGACCTGCCTCCTTAGAGAATTCTGCTTGTGGATTTTGTTCAGTGGGGTTACCGACAACTACCAGAGAAATGATGGCGACCATAGCGGGTTCCGCGGGCACCACCCTCTTACCTGGTTTTGGCTTTTGGGAAGTGAAACACCCTCAAAGATGCTGAGAGAAATGGCAGCGGGCGACCTGGCTGCATGTTAGCCAGTCTGAGGGAGTGTTGGAGTTTGTGCTACCAAAATCTTCACTTTTAAACAACGGAGAACGGGACAGGATGGCACTTCTGCGGTAGTGTCTCTCGCGCCAACTCACTACTGGCGTCCTACACTCCAGCAATAAATAAACGATCGAGCACGTACAGATCACACCTAGGCAGGGAAAGATGGCTGGCCAAGTCACAGACCCACCCCCTCCCCTTTTAAGACAGCACAGGCTAAATCATTAAAGGTCAGTGTTAGTATATACACCAGCCATATCCCCATTTAACAGCAAATTGTGTGCATATACGTGAGAAGAGGTTGGCAATCTAACGCTGAATGTATTTTATTTCCTAGCTTCCCTCCAAAAAGCTCAAGCCGCCTGCACAGGGACCTCCCATTTTTTCTCACAACAACCTTGCTAGGTAGGTTGGACTGAGAGAAAGGAAGGACCCCCCAACCCTGGTCCGAGGCTCCCAGTTGTCCCTGACCTGCCATCCCAAGACGTGTTGGATTACAGCTCCCATCAGCTCTGGGCAGCACAGCCATTGCCTCCACTGGGATGATGGAAGCTGTGATCCAACGCACGGGGAGAGGCGGAGAGGGAAGCTGCTCGACCCCCGTGCCCAGCTGGCCTTCCCCAAGAGGGGCTGACTCAGAAGCACCCTGCGCCTGCCCCACTGCACGGCCGGTCGGCTTGGCCGGGGCGGAGGCCCCTCCTTGCAGCCCCGTGCTGCGCAATTGTTCTCCCCGCTGGTGCAAGCTTCCAAAATGGAAAAGCGGATGGCGGCAGAAGGCGAAATCCCAGGAGCTGCACCCCGAGAACTTCCCTGGGTGGGGAGCGGCGCCTGTGAAGGGCGGGTGGCCTACACCGAGAAGGCCCCGTGGCGGTGACCGGGCCTGGCTGCGAGGAAGGTGACCCAGTGCTTGCATCTCGGAGGGGAGGGGAGGGAGGACTTGCAAACCTCGATGCGTGAACAAACTTGCAGGGGACCCCAAGGGCCAACTCAGGCTCCTCCTCCCCCGCTAACAGGGCGAGCCCCTCGGCAGCCTCATCAAGAAGCTACTGCCCCACTGGTAGAGGAACAGAAGCAGGTATTGTAAAAGTGGGGAGGGGGCGGGGGGGGCGAGAAGCAGCGTGTCCTTCACTGTATGGATCTGGCAATGACCCTGAAAATGGCGTGAGAAGCCCCCCCCCCCCCCCCCCCGGCCGCGCTTGCAATTCAGCAGAGCTCCTCAGCCTTTTCCCTTAACGTCTTTCCAAGTCATAGCGGAAGGCTGTCCTGCATCAGGAGCTGTGCAGCGGGGCCTTTGACCAACATACAAATGGGGGGGGGGCTGCTTGGGGCAGGAAAGGAGAGCGTGGAGAGGCAGCTTGGGGTGGGAAAACCCACGGAGGTCTAAAGGCCCCTGGCTTGTGGCCGAGATGCTGCTCTCCCGGCATCCGCTCCGTGTTTCGACCCCTTGGAGTAAAGTGCATGGAAAATCCGCCCCCACCCCCCCCGCACAACATAAAACCCAGTTAGGGAGTAGTGCTAATTAGCAACTGGCCTTGCATGCAGGTAGTTAACGATCACAGGGGTGAGACAAGAAAAAGGTTTTGTGTGTGTGCGTTTTTCCTTATAACAATGGCAAGGATGGACAGAGGTTCATGTCATCTATGATCAAACACTATGATCAAATTTCAGGTTATGGAAATTAGTGTTGAAGCACTGAGGGGCTGAAAAGAAGCTGCTAGTCCTCATGGAATCGTGGCAACTCATTAAAGCCCTACTGATTTCAGCAAAGTGTGGATGGGCTTAACTTTGACTGGATCGGCCTACCGCGTTTGAAAAGCTACGCTAGGGGTGAGGAGCTTGTGCCCCCGCACCCAGATGGTTTGGCCTACAACTCCCATCAGCCCATTTCAGTATGGCCACTGCTGAGCAGTGAGGGCAGCTTTAGTCAAAGCCCACCGGCTGCCCACCCTGTTCCACACCATTGAGCATGGGAGCTCTTTGTTTCTCAAAGGGAGACCAAAATCCAAAGAAAACCAGATTCTGCAGAGGCTGCTTGAAATGCTAATTGCACAGACGTTGCAGTGGAAAAACTCTCCCTAGGCTGGCTGGGTGTGGACGTCACCTTCCCCTCCGGAAACTCATATCTGCTGTTGTCGTTCTAAAGCTGCCGACACCTGTCCAGACTGGGTGCTCAGGTGCTTGTGTCAGGTTCCTCTTGCAGCTAAGAAAAACCTGCAGAAGGCTTCTCACCCGGTGGGAATGCCGGCCCGGGATCAAGAGGAATCCTCCAGAGCAGCTCTTAGCAGCATTCACTTAACTCCGGCCCCCCCATTCCCACCAGCCGTGGCCTCCCGAAACTGCCAGGGGCGGGGACAGAAGAGCAGTGTTAGGTCAAGAGAAAGCGGGCCTCGCCCGGTGGCCCCAGCGCCCGGCGTGGCACTTCCCGTGGCCCGGAGCAGAGCCGCCAAGCGATGCCGCTCTCCTTTTGGTGGCTCGGCCGGCCCCCCCACCCCTCGCCTCACGGGCCACACAGAGCGCATGGCTTCTCTTCCGGGGGCCCTCCGACAGTCCCTGGGAGACGGAAGGAGGCACCCCCTCCGCAGCATCCGACTGATACGGCCACGGGGAAGGTGGCCCTCCACCTGTCCAGGTCAATGCAGCCTGCCCTGACCAGCGGCCGCTCTCCTTCCAGGTTTCGGGCACCTTCCCCCCCCCCCCCCCCCCCCCCCCCCCCCCCGCGGGGGCCCCCCCCCCCCCCCCCCCCCGCAACCAGGGATTCAACAGGGGACCATTCCACCTGCAAGGCCGGGAGTTTTACCCTGTCCCACGGTCCTTTTCCTTCAACATCGGGCCAGGAAAGCAGCGGTGCCTCGGCCCCTCGCAGCTGGCTGACGAAGGCACTTGGCCAGCCCCGGCTGCTCGAGTCTGAGCCCGAAGGGTTTGAGCGAGGGGGAAGGTGCTGCGGCGCGTGAGCGGGCTGTCGAGGGCCATCCCCACGGCGCGTTCCCCCTCCACACGCCCCGAGCCGCAGGAGAGCTTTGGGGGGAAACCGCGACTGCCCAGCGGGAAGCGATCCGCTGCACTGCTGGTCCTCGCCGGGATCTGGCTGCCTTGGAAGGAAAAGCACGGCGCCGGAAGGGAAGTGTGTGATCTGCTCGGCTGAACGGCACAGCGGGGGCTCTGTCTGCGGAAAACGTACGGAGGCCAGGAAAGACCGGGAGGGCTGCGTGCGTGAGCGAGTGTGCAAAGAGGCCGGTTTGCCCCGAAAAGGGTGTGCGCCTGTGTGCCCCAGCGGGCCGTGGGTTGATTGTAAGTCGCAAGGGCATGCCTGTCGTTCCCATTAGTATTTCCAAAAACATAGCAATAAATAATAAATAAATACCTTGGCCGAAGGTTGACCACCGGGTGGGAACCGACTTCATAAATACAGTAGCACCAGAGGGCACGCTAAAATACTAAATTTCTTTCTTTCTTGGATTCCGGAGGGGGGGGCACCTCCTTCTCTGCTCTTTTTGAAATAGCATAGAAGCAACATGGGCTGGACCGCCACCATCTGCTAGATTAAGGATTGGGAAAAGTGTGCGCTTCCATCTGACTTCAGCCCGACCCAGCTCAGCTGCGGCCCTCACCACTTAGCCTCACTGCCAGCAAGGGCAGCTGTGGGAACCGAGGATAGTGCCCAAGACGGGTACGGCTTCTAGCAGGACGCAGTTGCCGGCCCCCAGACCTTCCGGATCTCAGGAAGCGTTCTTGAACGGCAGAACAGGGGGAACAAGACCCATCAGCAATGCTTGAAGGAGGCAAACCCAGACGCCACTGGATTTCTGGGTGGCTTTCCTCGAGGGACTGCTCAGACCCTCCTGACTGGGGTGGGGTGGGGTGGGGGCCGGCAAAAGTGCACCCGGGGGAGGTCATCGGCTGCATCAGGAGCGTTGGTGAGCCGCTCCTTCATGAGCAGGGAACTCACTCTTGTTGGAGACCCAAGCGAGGAGCACAGTGCCGGGCATCTCCTCCGGTGGGTTCGGTCGGGCAGAGTAAGGCTGTTCCCCACAGCACCAGCTTCACGGGGTCGTGGTGAGCCGGGCTGACGCGCTGGATCGGCGGGGCTCTCTCAGGTAGCCCACGACTTCCGGTTCTCGGTGCTTCGGGGGGTCTTCTCAGGCCGGGGAGCAGCGCCTCCTTCCGCTTTGGCCAGGGCAGTCAGGGCGGGCAGGTTGGAGGCTGAGCCAGAGAAGGTCCCGCTCCGCCGGTGCTCAGGCGCGGCTCCGCCTTGGAGTCTCATCCCGGCGCTCCGGCGCCTCATGGACCCCGTGGCCCTTTTGACCCGACTCGGCCTCACGAGGAGCCCATAGCCTGGGTTGCACTTGAAGTACTGCCGCCCTCCGATGGAGCCGTCATTCTTGCCTTGGGGGGGGGGGGGGGGCGAGAGGATAATTGTTTTAAAGCAAAGTTCTTTCCAGGAGCTGCGAAACTGCAACCATCAGCTCGTCTACATCGGCCGGGTCCCTGCCCAGTCTGGGTTTGGCCCAGGCCAGCTGGAGACGTCACGGGCCACACAGCAGAGTCTCCCATGGAAGGAGAGGGGCACGATCCATCAGGAAGTTCCCCAACGCATTCCATGCCAGGAGCATGCCCTGGTGGATTGGGCCCCAGGGAGCCGAACCCAAATGCAAGCCCAGCTTCACTCTCTCCTCCCCGGACAGTCCATGGCCCCGGCCCCATGAGCCGGCCAATTCAGCTGGGCAGTTGGAAGATCCCCACCCATCTCGTGCGTCAGCTAGCCTTCCTCTTTCTTTCTTTTTTTTCAATTTATATCCTGCCTTTTACCTACAAAGGGCTCAAGGCAGCTTACACCATTCTCCTCCTCCATCTTATCCCCACCACAACAACCCTGTGAGGTAGGTTGGGCCGAGAGTCCGTGACTGGCCCAAAGCCACCCAGTGGGCTCCATGGCCGAGTGGGGACTCGAACCCGGATCGCCTGAGTCCCAGTCCTGTGCTCTTCACCACGACCCCACCCTGGCTCTCCTTCCCAGTAAGTGCAGCGAGCAATCCACACGCAGCAACGAAAAGGAAAGGCACACGCACACCCACGGAACGCCTGTGGGCCACGGAAGGAAGAAAAGCTGCACAGCACATGCCTAGAAACCCACAAGTAACTGGCAGGCAGAAAAGGGGTGGGGTGGGAAGAGAGGTGGAGCCACCGGGGTCCCCCGGGATGCCATCTTGGGACCCCCAGAGAGTGAGCGCCCTGGGGGCTGCCCGAGCCTTGGGTCACTCTCCGAAGGCCCCGGCTGGGGTCAACGTTGCTCTCGTGCTCTCTTCAAGAGGGCAACTGCACGCAGAGCTGCTTCCCGAGGCCAGGGTCTCCGGATCTTCGGGGGGGGGGTACCCCACTCTGGCTTCTGCAGGAACAGCACAGTGCGCAGCTGCCCTCTGACCACACTCTCCCTCCTCCCGTGTGAAGCCTCACGCCGTCACCAGCTCCACAGAGGTGGAAGGCGCATAGGGCCGGGCTCCTATGTCGGCCCGACTTCCATGGGCGCACTAGTTCACGCAGGTCCCGTCGGCCACACGAGTGGAAGCAACTGCCCGGGCCCGAAGGCCTCGCCAGCCCTTCTGACCCTCTGCCACGGGGAGGGAGCCCGCACAAGCGCCCCGGTGTGACGACTTCGTGCGCGGCTGGGCCTGCACCAAAATGTGGAGGACCCGGGGCTGCGAGGACCCAGTGCGCACGCAGGGAAACGGAGACCCCGGCGAGAGCCGACGCGGCCCACACGCCCCCAGCGCCGCGCACCCGTCGCAGCGCCTTCCGACACTCACCTGAGGGCAAGTCCAACTCGACTCCCACCCAGGTTCCCTCCTGGAAGTCCGTGGGGCCAACGTATCTCACGGTCCCGGTTTTATTCGTGCCGACGGTCACGTATTCCCCCTCCTTCAGCCAGTCGGGGACCTCGCTGCCCTCTTCCGAATCGGAGGCGGCGTCCAGTTTTTCTGCGGAGCCCGCTGCCACGCCGTTGTTCTGGCCAGAGCCTGGCAAATTCCGACTGCTCCTCTCTTCCGGTGAACTCGAGAGCCCCACGGCTTCTCCTCCCAGCATGCTGGAGAAGGACTTGAGCTCTGATGTCTTTACTCTCTGGATCCTGAACGGAGAGGCCGAGACGGCGGAGGGGGAGGAGAGGTCCTGAGGACCTGGAGACCCCGAAGGTTCTGCTTCATACTCGGGGGGCACTTTTGCAGGCCTAGAGGTGGGAAGGGAGCTCCCCGTGGGCGCTGCCGCAGGCTGCTGGGCCGCTCGCACTGCCCCCTCTGAGAGGGGGCCCGGAGAGCAGCCCAGACCCTCCGCAGCTCGGGAAGGAGGGCCCGGCTCCCCACTCGGAGCTGTGGACGAGGCCCCAGGCCTGGGCCCGAGGCAACTGTCACTGCTCAGCTGGCCGCTGTCCTTGTCTCCCACCTGCTCGACTTTAGGGGGGTCCCCTCTCACAAGGGAAGAGGAGGACTCAGAGGCTGAGGCGGGGCACAATTTCCCGGGAACGTCGGGGGCAGGTGCCTGGGGCAGCGCTTCGCAGGCCGTGGGTGTCTGGCCGCCGGCCTGGAGAGAGGCGTCGTTCCCGGGCGCGAGGGCGTCGGAAAGGGTCGCGGTGGAAACGCTGTGAGAGAAGTAGCCACTGGATGCTTCACTCAGGGGGCTCGGCGGCCCCTCCTGTGAGTCCTGCGTTTGCACGTCCGCGGCGGCCGACTGCAAGAGCACTTTGGGGGCGCTCCCGAGGGCCTTATCCAGCTCCGGGGACTGTGCGGCCGCTTCCAGGGGCTCCGGACTCCCTTTCCCTTGGGGCACCTGAGGCAGAAATGGAGATAGCGTCAGGAGGCAGTGGAATTACCAACCGTTCTTTAAAAAAACCCCACACACTGGTGGGAACTAGAGACACATTCGCACGTGCGTTTCGCGTTTCCTGTTTCTTTCCACTCGAGTTTTCTCTCCAGGTTTGCTACCTTTTAAGCCTTTTGAGCAGGAAATGAGAGACGTGTGCCTTCGCTGCATTAGCCAGTCCAAGAGGTTTAGCCTACTGCAGCCCCGGGGCATCCAGGTATTTTGGACTCCCGGTGGCCTCTGTTCCAGCCAGCAGGGCCTGTGGAACACCATTTCTGCACGTCTGGCTACTCAGACAAGATGGCCAACAGGCCCGTCTGCCACAGTTTTGTCTGGAAGGCTGGGTAACGCGCAAAGATGAGGTGCGTGTGACCTCGAGCCTCTCGCTTTGCATTCTTGCTTGCCGGGGTGGGGAGGAAGGCTCGGTTAAGGCCCCCCTCGCCCGTATGCCGTGCCATTTTTATTCAGCTTCCAACTTATAAGCTGAACGGGGATTTTAACGGGGCAGTGCTGTTAAACTAACTCATTTACAGCTAACTTTTCAATTGTGCTCTTGATTTATTGTGTTTTATGTTTAATTAAGATTCGGTGCTTAAGGTGGACTTTGCCGCCGTGCCGAGCACCCACTTTTTGGCAGAAGGGAAGGGCCGAGATCAAAATCGATTGCATTCCCCTCCTTACATGCACCTTATTCTCTTTACAGAGGAGAGGTTCAGCATCGTTATTAGGATATATTCTTCCAACTTTTTTACATCTTTAAGTGTATTTCTTGGCCATTTTCAATACAGAAGCCCTCCTGAAGTGGATCACAACCATACATTCAGTTGTAGTTTTTTAAATTCCCTCCTAAAATAAGAGAACCGCCCTGTTCATACCAGAAGGCAAACCGAAAAGCACCGGCATAAAATGCCAGCTTGGGCAGTAGCAAAAGCCCCGGGAAGGGGTGGGAGCAGAATTAAACCTTCAGGACCCTCCTAAGAGCCCGCAAGGACGGAGCGTGAGAGGTGCCTGATGGGCTCACGTTCTGGTCCTGCAGGGCCGCTGTGGGTAAGGTGCTGGCCCGGAAATGGAACCTCCATGTGGCCAGAAGAAGGGGGCTGGCAAGATCAGGGCCAGCCCTTGCTTCATGGGTTGCCCTCGTCGCCTTCCCAAAGGAAGCTCCTGGCTGCGCGTGGCGGGAAGCTTCTCAGGCGCTCTCTGGTCCGCAGGAGGACGGGAGGTGCAGCCCCGTCTCTGCCCTCAGCCACACTGCTCCCTGCCGCCCGAATGCTGCCTCCGTCCGTCCGTCCGTCTTCCTGCCTCTCCCAACCCCAGTCCCTCTCGTTTCTCTTCCAGGAGCAGGAGAGCCTCTCTCCCCCTCCAACTCCGACTCAGTCCTGCAGGACTAGGCCCTTATCTGCTGTTCCAATGCCAGAAGGCAAATCTAGCCGTCCAAGGTGCCCCCGCACCCCCTTGCTCTACCTCGGTGGTTTCCTGGCATCTGCTATTTTCCATCCCAAAAGGCCGACTTCGTTATTCGCCGCAGACTAAAAACTGCCGGCATTCCCTCATTTCCTTGATCTCCATGTTGGTCCATTTCCCAGCATGGAGAACTCGGGGTCCCCTCTGTCTCTGGCCTGGCTGACCACTAGAATGTGCCCCTGAGAGCGGGCGGGAAGCGGCCCCGGAGCCCTCGCTGGCGAAGGCAGCAGCAGCAGCAGTTTGGCCAACAGGTCTTTCCCCACAAAAGCCAGGCAAAGATTAATATACAAATGCATCAAACACAAGAAATATGCTCCCGATTATTTACTGACAAATCATTTGTATTACAGGAACTGGCCTTTGCTGTTTGAAACGGGCGATTTATGTGAGTGGGGAAAGCGAGCAAGGTCTGTAAGTCTCTCCCAGTTATTTGGCTTAATTTGCAGATGAGCTAAATCACGATTTCCAGGTCGGGCATTACGCCTTGCCGCTCCGCGTTCCCGACGCTGCTCCTTCGCAAACGCGCTGGCTGCAGAGCCAGCGAGGCGCAGGGTTGGCGGCACCCTCCCCGCCCCGGCACTGCGCCCGACGCGTCTGGAGGGAACGGCCGTGGCGAGGGCTGCGCTGAGCGCCACAGTCCGATCTGCACGATGCATTTCTTTTGCGATTTCGTTTTCATTTTGTTTTCTGAACTGTTGAGGCGTCTTTCTGCTCCTGGCAGCAGGGCGATGGCCAGCAACTCTGGGGAAGGCAGGGGAAGCTCGGGGCTTATCCTGAGCAGCAACGCCATGGGCTTTCCTGCCACAGGGATGGAGCAGGAGCACACACAACCTGGCAGCCTTCAGACATGATGGAAGTGACGCTGGATACTGCAGCTGCAGGGCGGCAGGGCGGCTGCACCAACGAGGAACTCCACACTCACGGGTCCAGTGTCGGCTGCCACTGAACCGTGGTTTGTGGTTCAAACAGGGGTGCATGTGTTGTCTGGACCCAGCCATGCTAGCAACCCATGGCTTGTTAACCTGAACAACCCATGGAGACAGCCCTCGATAGCACTTGTAGAGAGGTGTCCCTCTAGAAGCTCCTCAGAGGCTGTCCCAAAGAGGAAGGCCAAGATCTCTGCTTGCTGGTGCCAGAGTGCAGGACACGGGAGAATCAAGTCAAGCTGCGACAACCCAGATTCAGACTGGACATCAGGAGAAGCTTCTTCACTGTCAGAGCAATACGACAGTGGGACCAGCTGCCCGGAGAGGTGGGGGGCTCTCCCACACTGGAGACATTCAGGGCAAAACTGGGCAGCCCTCTGAGTGGGATGGTGTGAACTGGTGTCCTGCAGCAGCAGGGGGTTGGACTGGATGGCCTTCCTGGCCCCTTCCAACTCTGCTATTCTATGAGTCTATGAGAGGGCCAAAGTTTGTTGTTGGGTTACGAACTGCGGGTTGTTCGCCACGGTTTCTTAGCTCAGCTGGCTTCGATGACACGATAACCCGTGTTTCAACAACAGTCCATGGTTCTGCGACAACACATGGGTTATAGAGTCACCTGAGCCCTGTCACCGGGTGGGGATGGGCACAGGAGGGGGTTCTGGGGTTGGGGCGCACGTGTGCTGAGGTTGTGTGTGGATCTGAAGAGCCTTTGCTGAAGATCCTGCGGAGAGCAAGAACGGGCTCCATCCTTCATGTGGCGCAAGAGCTTCTCTTGGACCTGGGCGGCTTCCCATCGGCTTTTTCAAGCAGCTCTGGGCAAGGGAGGCCTGGTGAGTTACCAGGAAGCGTGCCTTTTCTGCTGTGGCACCGCAGCTCTGGAAGGAACGTCCTAGGAAGGCCCGCCTGGCACCCCCATGGCGCTCTTTCCAGCACCAGGCCCAAACTTATTTTCCCAGGAATTCTCCCAGGAATTTCAGTTTTAAATTCTGTATAGCATTTAAAATCTTTGTACTGTGGCTGGGTCTTATTCTAGTTCTCACTTTTTCTTTTTTTTACCACCATCGTGTTACCTATTTAAATTTTTATAGTATTACCATCATGTTACTATTTAAATTTTTATAAATACATTTTATAATGCATGTTAAGTTTTAAAGTGTTGTGATTTGTCCAGAGAACTTTGGCTCGGGGTGTCGGGGGTATGAAAACGTAATGCCTGTTCAGTGGCACCATCGATGCTGCAGCAAGACACAGGTACAGAAGAAGCATTCACAGAAGGGCCCACCTGCTTGACTTTCGCTGGGGTGGTGTCCATGGTGACGGACTGGACCATGATCCGTGGCACTGGCTGCAAGGGAAGGAAAGGAGAGTAAGGCAGGTGTCCTTGTGAAGTCGGAGTGATGGACGACAACGTGCGCACGCGCGTTGGCAGCCTTGCGATAGTGCCTGCGACTCTGCCGTTGACAGACACATCCCTGCGCCTGCCTTCCCCTCAAGGCCCCTCTCCGTGAGGGCTTCCCACAGGGGACGGGGCAGGGGATGTCAGGAGAGGTTCCGCCCTCCGTCACAACCGTGTCTTCGCATGCCCCCTGCTTCTGGCTGCTCCAGGGTCCCCGCGTTTCAGCTCTGACAGGCCCGGGTCATTGCATTTTTCGAGGCAGGACCGTCCCCTACCCTCCTATCTCATCCGCTTGGCAAACAGGTGCCATGGAGCCCGCTTCCAAACAAGAAGCAAGCAGTGCCTCTGCACAACATTCGGCCAAACTTTCTGCATTTTAAAATGCTGTTCTCTGAAGACCGCAAGCCTCCAACGCTGGACTGTGCCTCTCCCCTGAATTTTACCCTATCAAAATGTGAAGTTATCAGGGCGATTTGCTGCGCTTCCAAAGCTCTCCTAATTGGCATCACTGACAAAGGCCCGATCCTTCCCAGTACGACAGCAAAGACGCTTTCCAGCCCCTCGAACCCTCTCTGCACAACCACAGAGACCCCTGCGGCCCCCACGCTTCAACCAATCCCGCCAGTCTTTTTGTGACTCGTACACGCAACCCTTTTGCTCCTCTTGTGTAGTTCAAGGCCTTGGAGGTTCTTGCGCGGTAAGGAATCTGATTCTGCCCACGGAGATCTTTGAAATCACTTTCAAATCCGTGCTGATCAAAAAGCAAGCAGGAGATTCAGAACTGCACTGCAGCCCATGTTTTATGGCATGGGATGGGTGGAGAAGGGCAATCGTTATTTTATTAATAATCAACGGAAAGGCCACTTACCAAATCAACCAATATCACTAAGCAGTTTACAGAAACAGATTAAATATGTAATTACAAATACAAAAACTCATCAGTGCAAATGTTTAAAACATTCAGAAGCTGACAGCACAAGCATTAATAATCCAACTAACAAGGCACCACAGTCAACGAGAAACTGCTGCAAAGCTCCAAGTTTTGCAGCGTCCTGACCTCCAAAAGCTTTGGTCAATCATGCCAGTGCACCAGGCAGCTTCTTTTTTTGGCTCAAAAGCAAAACAGACCTTTTCGGATTTAAATTATTTCCTTTACAAATGACAAAACAGCCTCTTGCTTCTGAAAGAATGACAAATGCTTTAAGAACTTCCCACTAACACCTCCGCAAGCCAATGTGCTTTTTGCAACAACAACCAAAAGCACGGAGGAAAATCAATTATCAGAAGTGCCGATTAAATAACGTTGCTGCTGACAGCAAGCAGATGGGCGAGAGACCCCCAACCCCCTCGGGTAGCAAACAGAGAAACAAATCTTGGATGTGAGACAGGGCTGAAGCCAATTTTACAGCACGGAGTCTGAAAATATTTGCACTGGAGAATGCACAGCTGTGGGTGGGGTGTGGGGCGAGAGAAACCCTCTCCTCTTTCCACGAGATGCTGTGCTGCAAAAGCCACAGAGAGACGCTTTTTGCTCGGGGCCTCTCCCAACCTTACAGACCGGCTGCATAATTTACCAGTGATATGTGCAGCTGCCCCACCGAGGCAGGGCTCCGACTGGCAGCCGCGGTCCATGTTCTACTCTCCGCGGGACCCAAGATGCTTTTTTTTTAATGGAGGCTCTTGGGATTGAACGCTAGCCCTTCGGCGAGGAAGGCCAGCCCAGCCCTGTCCTTCCCTGTATTTAGTGCCACCGAGCAGCCCACCGAGAACCGCCTTAGCACCTGCGAGGCGCGCTGCCCAACTGTTTATTTCGGAGGCTCGCTTGCAGCAAAGCCAAGTCCTGCTCTCCAGCGCCACTCTTACTTTGGCGGATTGTGCGCTGCAGCTGAGACACCGCCTCTGCTTTGCCCTCAGGCTCCTGCGCAAGCGGCTTAGCTTTCAGACTCGCTGGTCTGTTCTCAGGAAATGGAGCCCATAGCAGTCGTTTTGGGACAGCACCCACGGCACTCTCGGGATGGACATGTGCTGTGAACCCAAAGAGGCTGCAGACCCCTGCAGAGCAGGCGCATCAGGTGCGACGAAGAAGTCACAGGCATGGCCGTATCACAGACCCAAGGTGTGCAGCTCCACATCCCCCCGCCCCCCACAGTGCGACGGCTTAGCAGCAGTTCCACAACGGTTGAGCCAGTACGAAACAGATCGGGGATGCGTGGGGTACATGTGCCTCAGAGCCGTTTCCCCAACTCTTGACGCCATGTGACCCCGTATGCATCTCTGCCTGACCCTCCTTTCTTCCTTTACTTGGCGGCTCCAGCAAGGATGACCCCCGCAGAAGACGAGGGACACGTGGCACGAATTAAGGAGGCAGGTGCGTCTCCACTCAGCCGGGGCTGCCACTGAACTGGGCCGAGCGGCAGCGCACCCGCCCAGGAGAACCTGATTCCCCCAGTGAAAGCCGTGCAAAAGCAGCTTAATCAGAAGGTGCTCTTCCAGGCACCCAAGTAGATGCCGACGGAAGCCAATCCGCTAGTTGCATGAAGAACCCCTATTATGCCAAATTAATTCAGTCTAACTAATTAGAGAGCAGGAAGTTCTTTCAATTATTTTATGCACCTTCTGAGAAATGCACTTGGGGTACGAGAGCAGATTTCATTAACGGCGGCTTCCTTATTCAACAGATTAGTTGCTGAACTTGCCACAGAAGGTTCGAGGCCGACCCTTCGCTAGATGCAGGCAGCAAATGATGGCAAGCTGAGCAGAAAACAGGGGGGGGGGGGGGGGGGGGGGGTGGTCCTAATGCAGCAGCAACTTTTTGGGTGCCTGCAAAAATGAAGATTTTAACAGCCCCCGACGGGCTTTTTTAGACCTTGTGCTGAGCTGCGGTTCTCACAAACTGCTGCTGTTGCTCATTAATCTGGGTTTTTAAGATTGTTTTAAATATTGTTGGGCTTGTATCCTTTTGCAAGATTGGAAGGATCTGCGCATTTACTATTGCAAGGATGACTGTTTCCCCCTGCCTGGAATCCAAACTGGCTTACACAGTCCCCTTCCTCCTCTATTTTATGCTCACAACAACCCTGTGAGGGAGGTTAGGCTGAGCATCAGGGACTGGCCCAAAGTCACCCACGGGCATAAGGCCAAGTGGCCACCAGGCCTGGATCCCCTAAGCCCAGCCCAGCATGGGAACCACAACAGCCACAGAGGCTGTCAAGGGTTTCCATAAGCTTTAAAATCAAAGAAACACTGGGGCATTTGATCTGTGAAAATCCCACTTAGTTCTGCTTGGGGTGCGTATTCTAATCCCAACTGCATGGGGAAGGTCAGCCACGATTAAAAAATAAGAATCCATTTTTCCAGTCTTCAGTCAGGTCATTTTTCTAATCAGTTCTCTAGACGCAGCTCCCAATTAATGCTTTCAGCCCCGCATGCTCCTTGGGCCCTGGGCCACCTTCCTGGACCCCTCTCAGCGTGCCACTAATTTAGATTCGTCCGATGTTTTTGCCCAGATCAAGTTCAGTTTCTCAGCATCACAGGATCAGGGAAACAGCCTCTGACGGGGAACCCCTTGTGTGCCAGGGCGCACCCTCGGCTCACGTCGGTCCTCGCCCCCCTCCATGCCCCGGGGAAGCCGTTCTTCTCCAGGGCACCCACTGCTCCTGGTCTTCTCATGGCTGAACCCCTGGCTCTCCAGTCTGAAACCCTACGGTGGCCTTGAAGGCACCGCCAAGAACCCTCCAGCAAGTCTTCGCCAGGGACCTTTCTCTTCTCGCCTTCTCCTCAATCAAAGCAATGCATCATGTTTCCTCTTGGATGTGCAGAGCACCTCCTTCTCTTTAGCCCCCCGCCCCCTCCTGGCATTCCCACGTGTACCAGACTTCCAAAGGTGCCCCTCTCACGCTGTCTTGCGTTTTTCAGAAAGTCTGCTGATGTGGATTCCCCTAACTCTTCCTCTCAGGAATCCGCTCTTCAGACCACTGTGTTGCTTTTCATTTGAGATCGCTTCCAGCACTGATTGCTTTCTAGCAAATAAGCTTCCATTCCTACGACACCCAAGGGCATCCGAGCAGCGGCACACGCTCCGCGAGGGGTGAGCACTCAGCGCCGTAAGGAGAGACCGTCCCTTCCTCTTGCAGTAATACAGTTTCTTGGCAAAAGCAACACAATCACTTTGTCCTCCGAAAACTCCACTTAAGAGCTGTTTTCCCGCTATAGTGGGGGCTACAGATACATTTTTCCAGCTTTTTATCAAATGCACATGGCTTCAGCCACAACGAGATGGCTTTCCCAGCTTTGGAGTTTCCCAGCACCTTTCCCTCTGCCGTTCTAAATTTCCTCTTTAAGGTGGGATTATTTGGTCTGGATGACAGGTTCAGATCACATCCTCTGCATCTCCTCCAGCTAAAATTCACAAATAGGGACATGCATAGGCGAGTTCTGTATATGCTACTATGAATCCATGTCTGGCATTTTTGTAAAAAATAGTCGAATTTAATTTTTAAATGCTTTCATGTTTGAATGCAATGCTTTCCCCACTTTTACTTGTGCAATTCTATACTGTTCCTCCCTCTACAATCTGCTGGGAGGTGGCATAGCAGAATAATCCATGAAACAGCTTTGTATGTTCACCCGAATCCGGCTTTCCCACCTCGTGGATCTGACTGGCCATGGTGGGAAGAAAATGCTGCACCAGATGATTCCTACTGAGGTTCCTGCATCATAGTGGCGATGTGGAACCAGAGGCTTTGCGGGCCATACCTGGCCCCCGAGGGGTTGCTCACAAAGCCACACCCCTTTCTCTAGCCACGCCCACTGTCCCCAAACACCGACCGTTTGCTTCCAAATTGCCTCCCCTGAGCTGTTGTTACTGGCAGAAAAGGCTTCCATCCAAGATAAACCGGTCTTTGGGGGTGCAGCCCCTGCCCTTGGCCTCTAGTCCTACCCATTGCTGGATGTGAGAGCCAGTGTGGTGTCGTGGTGAAGAGCATGGGACTGGGACCCAGAGGATCCGGGTTCGAGTCCCCGCTCGGCCATGGAGCCCACTGCGTGACTTTGGGCCAGTCACAGACTCTCAGCCCAGCCTACCTCACAGGGATGTTGTTGTGGGGATAAGATGCAGGAGGAGAATGATGTAAGCTGCCTTGAGCCCTTTGTAGGAAAAAGGCAGGATATAAATCGATAAATAAATAAATAAATAAATAAATGTGGCCCCGGCAGCATCCTGAAAGAGGAGTTCAGTGGGAAGTGGCTGAAGGATCTTCTACAGCCCTGCATCACGGACAGGCCATGGCGGAGCTGAGGCGCTGAGGTGGGCTGCCCAAGTCACACGGGCCTTCTGTGCACAGCACACACTTTCCTGTGCGTTTGGGGGGAAGTTTGGGAGCAGGCCAGCTTCCGTTTAGGGTTCGCACTGGAGAAAAAGAAGGGAAAGTGGCCTCTTCCCGTCTCGTGCTTCACGGAGCGAAAGTACGTGCTTATGGACGTGCTGTGGGAGGGGGGTGCTCACGCGCTGGACTCTGTGCTGGGCTCAGGGGAACTGCAGAGAGGGCCAGATTCGGCATCGGGCACTTGGGGCAGTCAGGGGACTGTGCGACTTTAAAAAATATACCCTAATATTCCGCTCTCTTGGTAGGCTTCATAGGCTTGGGAAAGGTGACAGAATGCCCTCCGTTGCAGTTGACAAACGGGATCACAATTTAGACTTATTGATAGCACGTCTGTCTGAATCCCATTTTTAATTTTTTAAGCGCCAAGCATTTTCAGCTAATGTGATTTACAGTAACAACAGTTCCAGCAACAATGGTAAAATTTATGATGTGCACTTAGTGTTGTTTGTGTATGACCAAATGGAAAATGCATTTCTATTTTTAAGCTATGATTTTATGCCTCATCCCTCAACCCTCTCTCTGAAAAACGCAGCAAATCGGAGGGACGGGGCGGATCTGAGCGTGGGCGGGGGGGCAACCAGCTCGTGGAGATGGGGAAGGCTGCTGCTGCGAGCATGAAAGCGAGGTGCGTCTCTCCGGAGACACGCAGCGGGCACACGCCAGGAAACCCGGTCAAGAAAGACCGACGGAGCCGTGTACACTGAACCTGAGAGAACGGGGAGCCAGTCAGCCTGGGCAAGGTGGGCGTTTGTGCAGCTGGGCACCAACACACCTGGAGGGTACCTGTCTGGGGAAAGCGACATGCGGCAGCATCCTCCCCGTGCCCCAATTTCTGGCCCCAGCCACTGGTGCTCAACAGGTGCACTGCTCCTTTGCATGGAGGTTCGTGCAGGCAATACACAGGGCTTCTGCTGTCCAGAGAAGGAATGGCTGTAAGGAACCTGAGCGAGCAGGTGTCTTTCACACAAGACAACGGCACTGTCTTTTCTAGCAAAAGGGCAGCTGTCCCGTTGGCCCCTGCCATGGACTGCTCTGTGACAAGATGAAACAGGACCGTTTGCCCTGGTCTGGGAGTTTGCGTCCCGGGCCTTTTTGCCAAATGATGTTCGTTCACTGCTGCTTCAGACGACGAAGCCCATTCCGTGCCGGGCTGTTGCCTTACCCTGTAATGACACATCTTGACTACCACTGAGAAGGGTCGTAATTAATGTTGGGAAGTGGGGCTTTGAACTGCTTTGATTGCACTTTTCCAGCATCATGAAATGGTTATTACGCATACTTAATATGCAACTCAAATAGGTACTTTTGACGCTAACCTTTACACATTTGATAGAAGAAAAGCTGATTCTGAAATGCCATTCTTTGATGGCGTTCTCTCTCCAAGGCAAGACACACTCAATCCCGTTCAAGGGTGCTTTTTTAAAGTGTTGGAGGCTGCCTTTTTATAACACTTCAACCTAGGTGAAAAATGAGCCGATCCTAAATACACACACTAGGGAAAGAACGAAAAACAAAACCAACAGAATGTCAAAATGCCCCAGAAAACTGCAGGACCATTTGTTAAGTCTGGTGGCCACCCCAAAAGGAAAGTGAAAAGGTGAACACCAACCTGCCGCACGTTACTCTCCCAAAAATGATTTCCCACTACCTTTCTCCTCGAGTCACTACTAGCCCAATTTCTACCTGATACTCCATTTCTCCTTATGCAACAACGGAAACATTTTCTCTTCCATCGCAATGGTTGGCCACTCATTTCTCAAGCTTCTTTGGCGCTTACCAGCGGCCTATTTTGGAAGGAGCACTACAGAGTTAATCACACGGGACCATGTGCATTCGTGGTCAACTTCCTTGGGTGATCATAACACTCTTGACCTCTTCTGAAAGGCAGATCTTTCAGTACCTTTGATCAAGCTTAGCTACCTTGAGCAGCAAGGCAAGATCAGACTAAAGCCACTCAGTGAGACGAATGCTGAATGAGGCGTTCACGCGTTCTCTCTCTCCAAAGGACTTCCCTTCTCCGGAGTCTCCACAAGGGATTAGGCCAACTGGATCCTACCCCTCTCTGGACCAAACGAACTACAGCACAGAGCAAAGCCAGGGGAGTTTAAGAAGGCATTGGTCATTGTTGCTGGGTGTCGGGCCCCGCTCAGCTTGCTGGGTACGAAGTCGTGCCAGTACCTACTACAAGGGCACCTACAGTTAATTTTGCGGCTGTTTCTAACAGGGAAGCCAAGTTTTAGGGGCAGCAGCCCATTTGGATTCTGGAGCTCATGATGTAACTCTCAGTCCCCGTACCATGACATTTGGCACGTGCTCATCTCGGTTGCGTTTAAACCTCTGAATTTAGCAGCTGCTTGCCAAGAACTAGCCATTCAAAATTAGGCAAATATGTAAACTGGCAAGCCACGTGTCTGCATGCGACTGCGTGAGAATGTCTGCCCTGCTCCAAGCTTTTACCTGCTGTGCGAGGGGACACAGCTGCTTGCCCTTCTTCTCATCTCTAACAGGAAACAGAGATTTAAGTAGCTTTGGCATCTGAGGCACGAAGGACTTCACAGGATTCAAGTAAGAGGCTGCCAGGCTACCAAGTCCTGCGAAGAAAAGAACAATTCCGTTTGTTAAGTGTGCCGTCTCTCTGCCTGCTGGACTCCTTCAATGCTATTGAAGTCCATCCTGAGCCATTAAAAACCTGTGGGTTGGGCTGGTTAAAGTCAAGGTTTGGAAGAACCTACGTCCCTAAATGAACTCAGCAGTCTTATCAAAGTTTGAATTTGCACTTCTGTAAGCCAGTGGGTCAGAGACCAAAGACTCCAGGATTGCTTCCCCGCATTCTACTTCTTGCTCCAATGTTTGCTTGCGTCCTATTTTTCTGGCTGAGATGGAAATGGAAGGATCGATAGCCACCGCACTGAATCAGAGATGCGAATTTTGCCTATCATAGCAAAATAATCTAATAATTTTCAAGTCACTGGCTGGTAGCAATGCAAATCTAGAACAGCTATTCATATTGCTTTATTTTTGAATGACATTTCAATACCATTCGTAAGCCATTTATAAACTAGGAATATTGCTTTGCTGGTTCGTTGATTGCTTTCTTATGACTTTATTTGAGCATTTGTAGTATTTTCTAAATTCCCATGTTACTATGGCTGGCTCCAAATTAATAATACATTCCATATGAAAATCATATTTTTTTCAAGCACTGAATATGAATAAATCAATTGAATTTTTCACTTAGGTTGAGCCTTCGGTTTTTTTACACTGGTCAAACTTCACCCTCCGGTCCACTGGGTTGCAAAGGTATAAATCTGCAAAGGTATATTATCTGGCCAGGGCGACTTATTTTATATTGTTATTTTTGTGTTTTAACTTTATGTCTACACTTTACAAACATTTTAATTTGAGGTTATAATTTAATGTTTCTATTTTAACTTAATATATTTGTATTTTAACTTAATGTTGTAAGCCGCCCCGAGGCTTCAGCGAATGGGGCGGCATAAAAATGTCTTAATAAATAAATGACACTCTGGATCAGATCCCCTGCTTAATGCCCTCCTCCAGAACTACTCCCGAGCTTGTGGGCGCTTACGGATGTTTTCGTACCTGGATCTGCAGAACCGTTCTGCTGAGGACTGCCTGGAAGGCTTGTTCTAGACGTACTGGAATGTGCTGAGCTCTGCGATATATCTTGTTGACTTTCCCAACGACTCTAGGAAGAATTAAGAAGAAGAAAAGAGACCCAGGGATAAAACCAGAACAACCACTCAGACTGTGTTTGAAAAATTCCCCGCAGGAAAAATTATAATGCAAAATAAGGGAGGAAGCAAGAACAGGAAAGCTTATCCCACGGGAAGGAAGACAAGCGGCAGATTCCCCTGTCGAGAGAGAACTGGAGTCCTCCTCTGCCTGCATTTCCCAAGGCTATTACGTCTTCTAGCAAGTTCCTTCTGAATTAAGAACCCCTAAATTTCCTCAGGAGCTGCTCCTCTATCCTCTGACACAGTCGCACCAAGCATTCCGGGAAGGGCGGGAGATGAACTGCTACGGAGCCAACTCATGTTCTGCTGAGCCATGTGCCAGGCTTGGCCCACGGTCCTGCTTTCCTGTTCGCTTTGGTCTTGAGCATCAGGCGAGGCTGCAGGGAAACTCTGAGGGCCCCGAATTAGCACCTACTAGATGAAGGATGGAACTCTCGAAAAAGACCCTGAAGTGAACCGGCCAAAGCAAGGTCAAAAGGAAGGCGTGCGAGGCCGGCACACAGAAAAGGAGGCGAAGCGCTTTGGAAAAGATAAGGAAAACTCAGTGGTCCTGGTGGAACTCGAGGAAAACAGGCGGCTGGCACAGGCTCTGCACTCTTCAGTCCCTTGAGATGTCCCGGTCAACTTGTTTCCGTGTTTCTCTTCCAGGTGTTGGCTCTTGACCTGCTGCATCTGTTCAGACAGCCAGATCCTGCCCAGTGAATTTTAATAATTTATCTTTGTGGAGGGCCAATGCGCTGGACTTGACACTATCGAAGGGCAGCAGGGGGTGCCCCTCGCAGATGGCAGTGTCTTGACCGGTCCAGGAAGCGGCCGCCGCAGAGGCTGGCATCTGGCGAGGGACCAGTTTGAGCCTAAGCATCCCATCTAACGGCAGGAGGGGGCAGCGCTCTTGGGGAGGCACCGAGTCTCCCCCTCTCCACCCGCTTTCCTTGTGAGCCCGCGTTAAGCTGAGACAGCGAGGGCACGAGAAGGGCCCCGGCATCTCTGTCTCTCCAAAAGGATCACGAAAGAGAAAGGCAAGAATTGACGCACTCATGATTTGTCTGGCGAAACCTTTGCCAAACGACTGGGCATCAAGGTCAGACGTCGTTAAACGAATTCTCATCAGCCCCTCGTAAGAACGTGGTGCTCTCTGCCTCGTGTCGGAACAAGGTCGCCACACAGATGCCTCAGCGCTTCCCTGGGGATCCTTTCCATCCTCTTCCTCTGCCGGCTGCCAAAGGGCCAGGCTGTCTACAGTGCGGGGAGGCTGCCCTGCACAGGCGCCCCGAGAGAGATGCTGGGGAGGGGCGGGGGTCCCCTGCCTGCCAGCCGGTCCACGATGGAAGCAGAATGTTAGGAAAGGCAGAGCCTGGCCTGATCCAGCCGTGGAAGGAGCGACCCTGGTTTGCTCAGGGTGCCCTTTTAATGGAAGTTCCCTGGAACCTCCCATTTTGAACATGAAACAAAGCAAATGCTGGACGAGTCTCCACAAATATCTTATTTCATCCCTCACAGCTTCAGCAAAATGACAGGCAAGGCCACTGCCGTGAGTTCCACTTTTAGAAACACTCATCAACGTCTTGCGATCTTTGCTAAATCTGCTCGGTAACGGATCCGCTCTCCGTTAGTCCTTCCACACACATTGCAATAAAAGAACAAGCCAGGGTTCTATCTAAACATCTGCTGGGTCAAATTCTCTCCTCTTACTGTCATGCATCTTGCAGGACTAGGAATTATAACAGACTCCACACACACTGGTGTACCATCAGGCCAAAGAGACACCCCGGCTGTAAGTGGGGGCTTGATAAACCTCCCGTGTTTGCAGCCAGACTGGAAAGGCAAAACACGCACGGGACAAGGAGCTCCAGTGTCGACAAAACCAGACAGACACCTTTCTCCCTGCACTTCGCTGCTGACCTTGAGTCGAGCCCTCTCTGGGACACACCGGAAAGGGCCGGGAAACCAGAATTGTGCGCATGTCCGTGCCAGGCACATGCGTGCAACTGAAGGCAGATCCTACTGCTCCATGCAAGACGCCCTTTTAATCTGTCCAAATCATGTTCCGGCGCATTGTGCGTTCGATGCGTGGCACGTGTGGGGAGGCGGCTGAGTTGGACGTGGGGGGCCACGCTGCAGTGGCTGTGCTCCCACTAGGACAGCCCCAGAAGGCGGTGCTTGGGGAAGACTATGCGCCCCTGTGGCTTTTCCGGCAGGGAGCTCCTCAGGGGTCGGTTCTGCTGCCTATGCTATTCAATGTCTACATGGAACCGCCGAGTGGGGTCACCTGGAGCGCGCTGCCATCGGAGCACCGAGGCTACCCTGCTCCTTTGCATCCTCTGCAGGCGAGGCCGAGGATGTGCTGGACTGGGGCCCAGCTGCAAGAACGGCCGGGATGAGGCCTCGTGAACTGAAGCGCCACCAGAGGAGGCCGAGATGCTGTTGGTGGCTGGCTCGCCTGACCAGGTGGAGGGGGCGCCACCTTCTGGACCCGGCTGACCCCCACCCCCCGCACCGAAGAGGAGCAGATTGCAGGCTGGGGGGCCGCTGAGGCTCAGCCCGGGCTGGTGGCCCACTCACGCCCACCCGCCGTCCCGGACAGAGGCAGCCTGGCTTCAGGGCGTTGCACCCTGAGCGAGATGACGGCGATCCAGCTGACGAGTGATCGCCCTTGGAGATAACTGAGAAGCTGCGGCTGATGCAAAACATGGCGGCTGGACAGATAGCTGAATCCAGAAATATGTAAATAGACCCTGAGCATAGCACACCTGTGCCGGCCCACCTGCACTGGCTACCTGTGCACTTCAGAGCTGGCTGCCGCCATGGAGCCCAACAAGCCTCAGGGCCTCCCCTAACTGCCGTCTTCTCGGACGCTGCATCCCACATCTGGGGACTTCCTCCGATTGCCACCTCCACGGAGGCACAAGTGTGTCAACAAGGAGGAGGGCCTTCTCTGTGGTAGCCCCCAAGGTACAGAACGATCTCACTGAGGTTTGCCTGGCACCACCTTTGCTGACCTTTTGGGGCCAGGCTAAGATTGCCCCCTGGGCCAGGGCATTTATCAATTCTGAATGGCACCAGCACAGGGGGCATCGCTGCCCATTTTAGGAGATCCAGCTGCATGAGCCTGCCTTAGCTGTTTAAGTCACAATTTTAGCATTAGTTATATTGTTATTTTATTTGATGAACTGTTGTACACCACCCAGAGAGCATTATAACTATCCGACTATGGAATGCGCTCCCCAGGGAGGTCCTCCTGGTGCCGTCACTAAATGTTTTTCGGAGCCAGGTCAAGACCTTTTTATTTAATCAATATTTTCATATGTTTGAATACTGAATTTTATTGTTGTATTTTACTAATTTGCAGCCAGAGTGGACTGTCGATTTATCTATGTTGTAAGCCGTCCAGAGACACAAGTAATTGGACAGCATACAAATTTTATAAATAAATAAAAGGCCTAGGGCTCCCATGTTCCCTCACCAGTGACCACTGCTCTGAAATAAACAAACAACACAAAATTACAGTAACGAATGAATAAATAGAAGGGTGCTGGTCAAACGAATGGTGGACAGATGTGTCCAAGTTTTTAGCCCTGGCAATACATGGCCATCCATGCTGCACCGAACAGCTTTCGCTTCTACGCCTTGCCTGGAGGTCCCGCACCTGCACTGCGCTCGTCCCTGCCAGAAACAGATGACCAGCCACCTGTGCGACCCGCAGACCTTCCTTATATTCTTATTTTCCCATCCCCACTTACACGCCTGCTCACAAACATCCTCCTTTACTCATGTGCTCCTATTCGCCCCTGTCAGGAACTCCAGATTGCATGTTCCTTGGGGCAGGCAACTAACTTCTGCGTATTCTCCGGCATTCCACAGAAATGGATGGCACCACACGGGTAGGCAAGAGCACGGCCTCTCATACAAAGCAGGCAAGCTCACCACGTCAAAAGCAAGGCCAGCTCCAGAGAATGACTTCCAGGTTAACGGAGAGTAAGGAAACACGAGGGCTGCATGTCCAAAGGAGATTTTAAGGGTTAGTTGAGAGCAAAGAGGTTTAGGACAAAAGCACTCCAGAAGGGGATAATATATTTATCCCGTTCATTAGGTGAACCTAATGAATTAGTTACCTCTGCCAGGACCTGAGGACACTGACACATGCAAGGAGGGGGCGGATACCGTTGAAGGGTTAGGAGACAAAACATAAAAGAGAAAGAGAAACACGTTATGAATGTCCCTTGCCACTTCAAAGACAATGGCAATTTTTATCCAGAGAACTTCCCTTTGTTGATCCTTTGCAGAGGTCCTAGAATCCAAGTCAGCCCTGACTACTAGGGGCGAGATCCAGGAGGCCCGCTGAAACTTATGGGGTTGAAGTCCGTGGTGACACCCTGTCCCACGGATTTCGGGAGGCCTGCCCTGAAAATGTCTAAGCCTGGATTCAGCCCGGAAGGACAAGAAGTTATTCCAAGGTATTGCTTATGGCCTGTAGCACTCTGCCAGCGGCCGTCGCAGTGCTCACACCAGTGAGACCGATAACGTCAGTAAGCCCGATCCAGCCAAAGCTGAGCATCCTAAATGTGATTCTGGTACCGGAGCTTCAAAAAGACGCTTAGCTCTACCCTTGAAAACCAGTCATTGTCCAGTGCTGGATAGAATCTGTCTGGCTGTTGTCATTGAGACACTGCAATGACATTTCTCTAAAAAAATATTTTAACAAAGATTCCTTTTCCTGGGGCTGTTTAGAAGTATGCAAAATGTATTTGTCGCCAGCCAGGGCTCAGGCAGGGAGGGAGTGCAGGCATCTGTCCTGAACAGAGCTTTTTGTTAACAGAGTGTCCCATCCCCTGGCCCTTTTGGGCGAGTTGTGGCCAGCAGATTCTTAACTTGATCAATGGCTATTCTGGATGGGAATCATGGGAATTGTAGTTCAACTTATCTAGAGAGTGGGGAAGGCTGCTGCAACGCAACAGACAGATCAGGGTTGCCATGAATAACAATTCCAACCGCTGAGCAGTTCTGAGCAGGTTCTGGGCCTGAAGCTTGTAAGCCCCAGAAGGATTTAAACTCCAGAATGTACATCTTGTAGTGCTATAGGGCTTACAGTAACCAGGCCAGGAAAAAAACCCAGCGGGGAGATCAGCTGGTGCCTCTCAAATACCTTGTCCCATCTTGGATCGGAAAGTTCTGCTAAAGCGAGTAACTCAGCAATGAAGACTCAAGAGAAGCCTTTTCTAAGCTCTGAAAATTTAACTCTTATACCTTAACATTAAAAGGTTCAGTGTCAACCTCTGTTCCCCACAAAAACGGTTTTGTTACTTAATACTGCTCAGTTGCTTAATGACAGGTTTAGCGAGAAAGAACCTGGTTTTGTCTGGCTCTGAGTGGAACAATGGACGTCCCTCTCTTGCTATAGAAACACAGAAACAAAGCAAGCCAGAAGGGGCCTCCCGGGCCATCTAGTCTGACCCCCGGCTCCAGCCGGCTCCGCTCATGACATGCCCACCACTGGCTTCTGCCCTTCCATTTTTTTCTGGTAAGAAATTCTGAAAGCTTACTTTGTAAGTAGCAAGGCTGTACGGTGGGTTGAGGTCCTGGCGGCTTCCAGAGAGCTGAAAAGCAGAAAACAAGGAGAAGGGCTTAAAATGCGGGCCCACGACATCCAACAACGCCAGGGACTGGTCAGCACGGAAGCCAGCAGGGGGCCAGAGGCAGGAGATTCGGCCGTCTCCCTGCTCTCTGCTGCTCCTGGGCGCCCCCGGGGGCCACACGGCTCTCGGACGCCCACCTCCTGCACCACCCTCTCGGGAAGGCTTCGGCGCAAACTCACCCGATGGACGTTTGGAGAACTGAGGCTCTTCCGGCAGAGTTTCCCTTTGCCGGTTAGCTGTTCCTTCACAGCAACCTCCTGCAACGAAGAAACAGATCACTACCACCTCCGAAAGGAAAGCGAGTTTCGAGCTGAACAAAAGGCAAGGAATACTGAGTCCCTGGGCAGAGGTCGCCTTGACGTCCGTACATGCTGCAGACACGTGGCTTAAGAAGTTTTGAGGTTGGCAACCCATGCCTAGTTAAACGTGCTCGTCCTTCTCTACCTGGCCTGCTTAACATCAACCAATCATTCCATCCACTCTTAGGAAAGACTTTATTTATTTATTTTACTTATTAAAACATTTTTATGCCGCCCCATTCGCCTAAGCCTCGGGGCGGCTTACAACAATTAGGGGGAGATAATTTCATTCCTATATCAAATCCTCTCTGTTTTATACGTGACTCCCGTAAATGCATAAATATGTATGTATATATACATTTTGTTCTCTCTCTCTCTCTCTCTTTCGCTCTCTCTCTCTCTCTCTCTTTCTTTCTTTCTCAGGGCAAGCTGCCCGAAGGCTGATTGGGTCCAACAGTGGGATCCGATTTTAAGAACTATTTAAGAAATTAAGTAGTGTTGTGAGCAACGTTCTCAAGCTCCCTCAGTTTCGAGGCCTTTGGCAAAAATGATGGCACAATTTTCTCTGCAGATGGTTGGACTAGAAATGCACACCTCTCACTTTAATTTAAAAGGAGGTCCGGGGTCTGTGAAAGTTTGGTGCTTTTATAGCAGGGATCCGAAGGCATATTTTACAGTGGGCCAACGTCCACGCCACGTGGGAGGTTTTTGGCATGAGCTAACCTGGCGTAGCCGGTCCAGGGTGAGGATATTCTCCACGGCCAGCACGCTGCGGAGGTACTTCTCTATATGGGCTTCCGAGTCCGCCGAAGCTGCGTTTTCCACATTGGCTGCCATCCTTGCGAGCGCCTCACGTTCTTCTGCCCCCTGGGCGTCCTGCCGTGAAGAAAGACCACACCTTTGCAGGGCTGCTGCCACAACAGGGGAAAACTCCCAGAGACCATCGGGTCAGAGGAAGCCTTTTAGGCATGCTTGTAAGAACACTAAACTGCATTTGGAGCTGCGAATTCCCCCGAATAGGATCCGAGCAGGAAAGCTCAAATAACACATCTGCCCCACATGTTGACGTGATCTGAGTTAATCTACATGTCCCTGGATTGGGATCTCTGGATTGGAACCTTGTCATTCCTTTTCTGAATCTTGTGATGCAAGTCTTGGCACACACGCCACACCGAAACACACAAGAAAAAGTGCGATTTTAGCATAATGTGCATTTTGAAACGTCCACTTAACAAATCCGTAGGAACATCAGTATTTAAAGGCACCTTTTTAACCCTAACCCATTTCAAGTATATCTAAACCTATTTTACTTGAACTGGGCTAGGGTTAAAAAGGTGGCTTTAAATACAGATGTTCCTACGGATTTGAATGCACAGCTGTGAAATCAACACCAAAACAGACTGAGCCGTCCACCCCTCGTTCTGGGTTTGGGAGCGGTGCTGAGCCAGGGTCTCTACAATGACGCCCTTGCAGAAACCAGCTAGAACGTGAAACCAGGTCCTGAGGACGGTGGCTGCGGATTCTCCTTACCCATCAGCCAGGCAGAGACCGAGCCTGTATTGCAAATGGCCCCTACCCACTGCACGTGGGCTGGGGACCCGCTCTGGCTGGCGCATCCAGCAGGTGGTCCTTCCAGGAATGATGTTCAAGTGAACGCCCAGCTGTGCCAACAGCCATTGAGGGAAGGTATTTTGGAAAGTGTTGCTTTGCACCCCGCAAAATATTCACCTCTGGGATATTCGAAACGATTTCAAAGGTGACTCCGCAGCCAGGCACGGAACTTCGGTATGACATTCTTCTGAAGAAACTCTGAGCAAAGCCCTGGAGGTGAAAGACATCTCGTCATTGCAAATGCAGCCATGATAAAGACGCATCTGTCTCTTTTGGCAGAGTGGAACCCGTCATCACAGCACCGGCTTGCCCAGCGTAACAGAAATGCAGCACTCACAGTTCAGCAAAATGGAAGACAAAGAGGGGGCCGTTTACTTTCTGGAAATCCTCTCCTTATGGTACAACCCCCACACCCGTGTTCAAGCAAGACTGTTGCCCACTCCACCAATGCTTAGTTGATCAGGCATAAAAACGTTTTAATAAATAAAATAAATAAATAAAATCAGTCCACCTGCTTGCAAACCAATTCAGCAAATAGATTTACATTCATCTGCATATTGAACAAACCCAAAGCAAGACTTTTAAAAACTGAGTGAGGAATTACAACTGAAGAAAGAAAAACCACTATCTATCCTTAGAAGAAGAAGGGCGACATTTTGTATTAGAGAATTTAATAAAGGAGCACAACCCACCAGAACGGAATTAAAACTGCCCCTTTGATTAATTTGCCAATGAAAACCCGTAGCTGATTATTTCATGCTTCATGGAATGGCGGACCTTCGCACATCAGTGTGAGAGGACCCAATTTCTGGGAACTTCCAAAAGCGCCCTTTCCCGCTTCCACTGGCAAGGTGTGCCCAGGTGCAGAGCTGAGCGTGTCCAAGGAGGTGTGTGTTGCATTGTAAGGTGGGTGGGGGGTTGTTGCTCAGATTCCCAGAAAGGAAACTTGTGAACTGACCCCAAGCTTTTTGTCCACAGCGTTACAGAAAGTCAAAAAAGGCCGCTTTTTCCTCAACGCACGCCAGCCGCCCCCCCCCCCCCAGCATGTGTTTGCTCGTGAGTTCAGAGTTGCTCGCAGCCAGGCCTGGTCACTGACTCCTCGGCTGCAGAGATCGCAGCAAGCAATGATTTAAGAGGGGCCGAGCCACTGTTTATGCGGACTGGGTGCCTCGCCGGTCTAAACTCCCGACTCCTGAATTAATGCAGAGATGAGTCATCTGTTTGAGCTGCTGCAGATGACGTGGAACGTTATTGATAGCTTTGAAATACACATTTGGGTCACAGGCTGGGAGCACAGAAGAGCTGAGCAGCTCGACGAGGAGAACAGAAAAGCAACCGATGGAGGGCCTGAACCAACGGCTGCCGTGAACCCTGTCCGCCGAGCATCTGTGGCGTGCGGGAGGGTGGTGGCTTGCGTGGCAGCCGAGGCCCTGCTTTGCAGATGGGAGGTGCATCTTCAGTCAAAGGACCTCTGCTAGTCTACTAGTTCTGGTTGGACTACTGTAACGCGCTCAACGTGGGGCTGCCCTTGAAGACAGTCCAGATGCTTCAGCTGGTTCAAAACAGAGCTATCAGGTTGCTGATGGGGGCCAGCTGTTACTCTCATATAACACTGGCCCTCTATCAGCTTCACTAGCTTCCCACTGAAGCTCGGGCCCAATTCAAGGTGTTGATCTAACCTATAAAGCCCTAAATGGCTTGGGACCAGGATACCTGAAGGAACATCTTTTTCCCTATATGTCTTCCCGCCCCTTAAGATCTGCAGCAGAGGCCCTGCTCTGGGAACCCTCCTTGAAGGAAGTTAGGAGAGCGTATACTCGGAGGAGGGCCTTCTCTGTGGTGGCACCCCGACTGTGGAATGTGCTCCCCAGAGAGGGCCACCTGGCGCTAACATGATATACTTTTCAGTGCCAGGTCAAGATCTTTTTATTTTCCTTTAATTCTAAAGTTTAAATATTTTAATTATGTTTTATTCTCAATCGTGGATTATTATGGGTTATTATATGCATGTATTGGGTGTTCTGTTTTTAAGCCATTCAGGGATCAACACTGGACAGGATAAAAATACCCAAGTAAGTAAATAAATACTAGAAAGACTGGGAAAAGCCCCTGGAGGACTGCAGCAGGCGGAGGAGACAGAACTGGGCCAGATGGTTCTCAGGCATTATAAGGAAGCATCGTCTAGCTTGGAGGTTTCGCCTTTTGGTGAGTTACACACAAACATGTGCGTACCACATGCCCTGGTTGCTCTCTGGGAATTATTATTCCCCGCTTGGGAGTAGGTCCTTCAATCTCTGGCTGGGTTCAGACAACACTGCAACCCTCACTCAAGGGCTGGGCATAGGTTGTTGCTGAACCACGGATTATCGTGTTGTCTCAACCCAGCTGCACAAACAAGCCATGAAGAGAGCCCATGGTTTGTTGTTGAGTTGTGAAGAGTGGATTGTTCACCAAAGCTGGCTACCTTGATTATGTTCAGACAACAAGGTATCATCGAGATGGTTTGATGAGAACTCATAATTAACCCTCACAAATGGGTTATCATGTCCGAACCCAGTCTTTTGCCATAAATCGTATAAATAAACTTTGCCTCAGGACCACACTAAGTTTGACACAGAACTGTCTCAGTCATGTAGAAAAGTCCAGGTCTTTCCGCCCTTCACTCAGCCAAAGTCTCTCCCAGGATCAGAGCCCAGGTGAGTAGAAAAGCAAGGACGATGGGATAAGGGAGGCGAAATATAAGAGGATGATGGGCTTGGCAGGCCTTACCCACACCCTCCTTGTGCTTTGAAAACTGGATTAGGGTTAGGGAAACCCTACCCTTTGTTTACCAGCCAGCTGGGCAATTCCATGTTTAAGGTTAAGCGCTGCAGCTAGTCTGGCTTTACAGTCCAAATTCTTCCAAGGGTAAACCCTGAAGCCCTGGAACCCAGGCGGTGGGGTGTCAGCAAGTGCAGCTACCCGGGGGATATAGAGAGGAGTGTGTGTGTGTGTCGACATGGGTGTCCCGCTTCAGGCACGTCCCACGAATGCACAGGGGGAAACGCAGCACCTGGAGCCACAGCTAATCCTCAGAGGGCCCCACCTGGCTTTCCAGAGGGAAAAGGGAGCTGCCGGCTGGGCAGCAATCGCAGCCGCATGAATGGGCAGGAAGTGGTTGGAGGGCGGGCAGGAAACCCTCGTTGCAGAAGACGTGCACAGGCGAGTCAGAGATGCAAGAGCATTTGGGGGGTTCGGTATCCTCTCAGAGGAAATGACAGCATGAACAGGAGTCCCTACAGGCTCGTGTTTCGTTTTATTCCCCTGCACGGGCGAAAGGAACGATTCCCACCTCCCGCTGTGCAGTCCTCAACAGAACGGGGACCACAAGGGGACTCCCAAAGACAACTTAGGGACCACATAAATTAAGGAGGACAACCACCTCCACCTTCCCCAACCTGCTCCCTTCCACCTTTGTTGGGCTACACTCCCAGATTCCCCCTGCCAGCGGCTGGCAAAGGGATTCTGGAAGCGGCAGTCCAACCTAGCTGGTGGGTGCCGTGTTGGGAAAAGCTATTAGGAACCATCAGAAAAAGACTAGAACGCCATAAGCGGCAGAGTGGAAAAGCAACAAGAGTCGCATCGTGGTACGGAAGCTTTCTGAAGCCCACGACAGTCTTGACGGCCCGGCAAGGGTCCTAGGAGAGCACTCCACAGGGAGAGAGCAACCCTCAAGAAGGTTCTCTGTTCACAGACACCTGCCCAAAGGCACGTGGGAGGGCGGGCCTCGGAACGGCACCGGCCCTGGCAGCCTGAGCACACGAAGAGGTTCATACGGCAATGGTTCTTCCTCCCAGGGAAGCTGCAAGGAGCCCTTCTATCTGTACGCAGACCCTCCCTTTGCATCCAGAACCGGTCCCGGCGACAGCCCCTGCAAAGCCCCATCGTTCTGGGATGAGAATCCTCTGAACTCATGTGAGGCTCCGCGCAACCCTCCAGCGGTCGCAGGCAAAACAGAAATGAGCCAGGCAGCGCAGGCGGACGCACGGACACACGGACCATTCCAGCCACAGTCGCAGCGCAACAGAAAAGCCCCAGCGCAAATGCCACTGCCACAAGGTGGGCTGCACAGGCGCACGGCTTGCCGGCAGCTCGGGCTGGCCGAAGCGCGGTTCGCTAGCATGCAGCGAATGGGGTGCAGGGGCAACCGGCAAGATGCTGCCTGTTAAAATCCCCAGGGGATGAAACAGCTATTCCCGTGGCCACCGATATGGACAACATCCTCAAAATGTGTTTCTTACACATGTTGGAGCCATGCGGGAAAAGGTGTCTGCCAAGATGCTGCAGAGGCAACTGGAGAAGACCCTGCTGGATCATCTGTGCAGCATTCCAGAGAGCGGCACGGAATCAGGAGCGAGGAGAGGAGAGGAAAGGAAAGGGGTCAGGAGAGGAGGAGGGCTGCCCAGCAGGAATGCTCCACGCTGGAGGCGTCAAGCCACTCGGTGATGGGGGAACCCAACAGCTTCCCACCGTTCTGAATGTCCAGGGGTCGCACTTAGAAGCAGGCCTTGAGCGCACAGAATAGGCAGGAGAAATCAGAAGCCAACACCACTGACTCTGGTGCTCTCCTTCGTGGTACTGAAACCAAAAGCAGCCATTTCTTTTGATGCAGCCTCTGTGGATAGAAAGCAAAATTTCACTCCGATCCTTCTAGCTCCTGCCATGTGAGGGACACCAACTCTGATGAAGCGCGACCCTGAGAAGCCACAAGATCAGAACGCTGCGTAGTCATCGCCGGTCCCCTGGTCATCGCAAGGGCAGGCGCGCTTCCGGGAGGGCGACCCCGTAGCGTGCAGCTCAAAACCGGGGAAACAGACAGAGAAACGCTTGCATGTGGCAGAAGTTCAGTAACGAAATCTGAGCTCCCGCTGATCCTTCAATTGTGCCGAGCGGCAGCATCTTCATGGACACAGGGAAGACACAGCCATGAAAACCTCATCAAGCAAGGAGGCTGACACCTCGGATCTTATTTTCAAAGGAGGCCCTCTTTACATTACCAATCGCTTAGTCCAGAACTGGGTCAACAGCAGAAGGGTGGCGAAAAAGACAAGAACATCGAACGGTGACAATAGTTTTAACTCTAGTTCACTGTGCCCGAAATTGAGAGAGGAGGCCAAGGAGAGAGAGGAGGCTATATGTAAGTTCTTGGCCCCTAAACTCGAACAAACTCCTACGCCACCCGAAACACAAGGTTATTCTTGCCATCAGAAACGCTTAATGGTTGGGGGAAAGGGGCTAGATTGGAGCCCCGGCAGGGCTGGATTTGATCCGGGGGCTTAGGGTTCTCCATCCCTCCTTCAAGGGATTTACCTGCTTGCCGTAGACGCTGACGCAAATCCGCTTCCGAAGGACGAGCTGCATTTCCGCAGGGTGGCTGAGCTGCACCGTCACCCGCACAATGAGGAAGACTCTCTGCTCGGGTGCAGTCCCCTTGCTGAGCTGCGGAGAGTTGTGGACGGTGGCATCCCAGGAAGCTTCAGCCTTTGCCTGCAAAACCCCCCGAGAAGGAAGCTGACTTAGAAATGAGCTAAAAGCTGCACTCTCCTCACACTCTCATGGGAAACACGCAACGTGCTCCTGTGTAGGGAAGAGCGCACTTCTTGCACGTGTGTGCCAATGCAGCATCCATGTGCAACCTGGGAAGACCCCGCAAAGGGTGGAAGAAACATGCCATCTTCCCATGGCTTTGTAAGCCAAGGAAACTCTTGGAGGCTCCTGAATCTGGGCCGCCTTGAAGGGGAGAGGACTTCTGCGTGGGAAAAGACACGGCAATTTTTCCTTGGTGGTGTGATCCCTGTCACTGACCCACCCAATGCAGCAGGTGTCCGACGATGCTCTGGTACCTTTGTGGCCCTGTAAGAGTCTCTTTATGCCCAAAGAATAGTGAGGGCCAGTCTTGACCAGGAGCGAACTCATTAAAGGGTGTGGAAAAAAATGCAAAATACAAGGCACTATCCTGAAACCGAGATGGGCTAAAACAGGTTCATGTGATGGAGGACTCGTTGTTGTCATTGCAGTAACAACCCGAATCATGCACACCGTGCAGAAGTCAAAGCTAGAACCCTGTTCCCTGATGGGCTAGTTTCTGCGTGGAAAGAATACTTTGGCTTGAAGGAGCAACCAACAAGAGCATCCCCCCACTTGTAGTCTGGAATGGTACGGCCCAAACGCAGGTTTACCACCTCCATGCAAAGAGGGTGGCTTTGCTTTGACCTCTTTTGCAATAAATCACGGCCAAGTGAGCCTTAGTACGCTCCAGGGGACTGGAAGTCACACAGCGTGGCCGGTTTTACGCCAGGGGCAACTTCTGTCCCAGGATTCTTGGCGCGCCGCTTGGCTGAGAGCAGCGGGGAAAGGGCCGCGCCCGGCCCCCCATGTGCCACACCCGCTCACCTCGCTCTCGTGGTGCTTGACGATCTGCAGTTCGAAGAATTCATCCTCGTCTTCGCCGGTCAGGGTGGCGTCCCAGCCACCTGCTTCCGGCTCATCGAGGTTGTCCTGGGAGCTGAAGTCATCTGCTGCAGTGGGGGAGGAGTAGGAATCTGGTGAGCGATGGCAGTGCAGGACATGGGAAATGTGGCCGGAAGCTCCCTGGGAAGGCCTGGACGACTCGCAGCAACTTCCCAGGCTAAGCCGCCACATGTGTAATTCTTCTTGCAGGGCAAAAAGAGAGGAGGAGGAGGAGGAGGAGGAGGAGGAGGAGGGGACACGGGCCCAGGGCCCCGACCCCAAGGCAGTAAGGTTTCCATGGCATGGGCAAAACCCAAACATGCCCGTGTCGGGCCATGGCGGCTGGGCCTCCGCCAACAAAGCCAAGTTGTTGTGGTAGCGGAGGCTTGGCTCGGTGAAGAATGCCGCTGCGAGTTCCCACCCCAGTGGAATAGCGAGAGCAGCACTGCAAGAGGTCAAGGGAGAGGGGATGGCGGCTGCCCCTTGTCCGTAAACAGACAGAATCGCCCTATATGCCAGCAGGTAAGATGGCCCTTGAAACCAAAAATAGCCAAGCAAACGTCCAGGGTTGTCTTGTATGCCTGCCATGTGACAAACACCAGAAAAACAGCCTAAAATATCAATCGCGTCTTAGACACGAGTCCCCTTATATACCGGGATATATGGTCGCAATGCTTGTCACCTCTTTGCCCCCACCGGCCCTGCAATCTGGGGAAGGGCCCACACCTTGGACCATGGTCCGATATCCCCGCTCTCCAGCTGCCCCTGTGAAGGGCGCGCTTCGAAGCTTGGGGGCTTGCTGGCTCGGGAGTGATGGCTCCCTGTCCAGGCCACCATCCTCCCTGGGCAGCACGCCGATGGCCTTCTGATTCCCACAGGGAGGTGCACGTGATGCCTTTGCAGGAGAGAGCAAAATCCACCTGGTTGTACAGGCTGTGCACCCCCTCCATTACCTGCCGCTTGACCTGTACGACTAACAGGTTAAGAACAGGGGGCGGCCGCACCTGCGGCCTCCACAGGGACACACACCTCTGAAATCGCGTGCAGAGCACCTTTGCCTAGCCTCAAGGACCAGCTGCTCTCGCAGGCTAAGGACAAAGACCGACTGTGCAATGCACCACGCTCGGTGAGGGAAGCAAGACGCACGCGGCCAACCAGAGGCCTGAGAGCCGCTGGCAGGATTGCTCGCCATCCACCACTCCCAGCAGGTCTTTTCTGCGTTCCTCTTGCAGGGCTGTTCCCGACTCTGAACGACACTTCTCGTTTCACGCCACTCGTCTGCCCTGCAACTTACCATTTAAATCAAGGAAAATGACCGGAATGTGTGTTTCCATGCCAGGCACAGGCGTCCTAAAGGGAAACGAGAGACATGAGCGACACCAGCATATCAATTGCGGCTGATTTCATGCAGGAGACGTCCCCCGTGATGCGCGGCAACCGTGTATTACCGTCAGGTCCATGCAACTGTAGGTCAAGGCAAGGATAACCGTGGTGAAGACGGCATTATCTTGCATTTGCTCTTGCGGACGCAGAGGACAAGCTGTGCTTCCCTGGCCCATTTTCAGCCATGGAGCAAAGCTGGGTGTGATGATCTCAGACGCCCAGAAGTTTATTTTTGTTCCTTGCTCCAATGTACTCAGTTAAACAACTGTAAAACGCGTGTCCAGATTGCAAGTGAGGGGCTGCAGCCACTCGCTGCCTCTTTCCCGCTTTCACACTTGCGTGGAAAAATCCGAGCGGAGGCAGTTTGTGCACAAAGGGCAACCGCAGCCCCACAACTCAGGAGCTGCTCCTTCGGAGGCCGGTTTGGGGGCAGTCGCAAGACGCTCCTCCGCCTTCGCGGCTCCTTCCGCTACAATCCAAAAAGCCGCTGCGGCAATCCATCCTTGCCTCGGGGGAGCACGGAGAGACCTTCGACAGAGGACCACCGCCAACCGCATTTTTAGGCATAGCTGTTCATGTTGTAAAAAAGCAGGCCTACAGCTAATCTGCCCGTGTGTGTGTTGCACGGGTATGTCCATCGGGAAGCCGCGACTGCAGGGGCTTCCGCTCGCTCCCCAGCCCATGCGACGACCTGGGACCGCGGGGCCTGAGCAAGCGCCTTCCCCCCCCCAGCCAGCTGGGGCTCCTCGACCTGCGGGAGATGCCCTGCTGAAGCAGCTGAGGAGGGAGGGAGGGCAACGCGGGGCATTCTCGGGGGTGGCCCCCCGCGTGGCGAACTCTCTCCCAGGAGAGGTGTGATTACTTGCCTCTCTGTGAATGTTAAAAGCTTTTTTTTTTTTAAACAATATCCCTGCTCCTGGCTTGTTTGCTTCTGTGTCGCTCTGACTGGTGCGCATCGTTATCGTTATTGCACTGCACTTAAATCCCACTTTCCCCCCCTGCTAAGAACCTGCTGGGAGGCAGGAAGAGGGCTGCTCCGGGTACACGTCCTCCAGGTCTCCTGCTGCTGCTCTCCAGAAGACTCCGAACCAGAAGAAGGGGCAGAGGCGCAGGAGGGGATCCTGGGAAGGTGGGCCCTGCTGAGGCTCTGAGATGAGAGAAGCGGAGGCGCTTGTCTCAAGGCCGGGTGGCCAGGTGGGCAGGCAGCCCTGGGAATCACCGCGAGGCACAGCCGGTGGGAGGGGGCCTGGAGCAGGGGAGCTTCTCAGACCCAGGTGAGGCGAGCATGGCTCTTGACGCGGCATCAGCATGCTGAGAGGAGGCGTACTCACTTTCAGAAGGCCCCTTCCAAAGGGATGGGGCCCAGGCATGCTCATAAGGAGAGCTCCTGGTGGTGAATCCTAGATCGGGTTCAACAGCACCCTGTGCATGTGCAAAGATTCATTCTGGGTGCTCTGTGCTCTAGGGCAACGAGGACCACCTGGAAAGGTAAAGGTGCTTGGCTTCTGAAAACGCAAGGGAGGAACCCCCGCTCCCGACAGAATGCGAGGCAGCTCACACAGTCTTTCCTCAGTCCGTTTTATCCTTAGAACAACAACTCTGCAAATTAGCTTAGGCTGAGAGTGAGGGACTGGCCCAAGTCACCCGGGGAGCATCTTGGCCCGGTGGGGACTAGAATCCGGACCACCTCCCACTGGCTCTCATAGCCAGCTTTTCACAGTGCCGGCGTAACAGCTGGCCCTGGTTGCTGTTTAATTGAGATCCGTGTATCTTGCAAGCACTCTGTGCTCCTGTTTTGAATGAAGGGTAGCATACAAGAACTGTGGAGGGAGGGAGGGAGGGAGCAAAATGGCCCCGAGTCTATCTGCAGGTTGCGTTTTAAAAACAGAACTGTGCATTCATCATACACCTGAAACAAACAAACAAACAAAAAACCCGCACACACACCCGGCCCTGCACCTCTGACTTCTGATTCTTGGCCTACATGCCTGCTAGGTTCTTGTACAGTCTGAATGTGTAGAAGCTTGCCTTTTGTTGCATAGAAACAGAGCAGGTCAGGAGAGGTCTCCCAGGCCATCTAGTCTGACCCCCGGCTCCGCTCACGACATGCCCACCATGTGCATGTCCAGCCTCTCCTTGAACACCCTCACCGATGGGGCCTCAACCACCTCCCATGGAAGCCCATCCCACACCCTCGGGGTCCCAACTGTCAGGAAGTGCTTCCTGGCATCCAAATTGAACCTTGGCTCCCTGAGCTTGGCTCCGTTGGAGCGCGTCCTGCCTTCCTCTGCAGGGGAGAACAGGTCTCTACCCACCTCCGTGTGACACCCCCTCACATGCCTGTATGTCTCCAACAGATCCCCTTGGATCAGTTGCACCTTGCACTTATCTGCATTGAAGGCCATCCCGTTGTCCCCTGCCTACCTCCATAGTCTGTCCAGATCCTTCTGGATCCAGAGTACCTGCTCCTCAGAGGTGATCACTGCTCCCATTTTAGTATCGTCTGCAAATTTAATCAGCAGAATGGTCACCCCCTCTTCCAAGTCATTGATGAAAAGACTGAACCGGATCGACCCTGCTCGTCACTGGCTGCCATTCAGATGATTCCCCACTATTTGGAAGAAGAACATATTAATATCATGAAAGGCAAGATTCTGAGGAACCTGAACCCTGCACTGGTAACCCTTTCTGTACCTGCCCAGTGCAGCAGAGTCCACAAATCCCGAGCGGTGAAGGTCCAGCTCACTTATTAAATTGGGGCGAAGCCCTGCTCACTACCGACTGTCAAACAAAACGAAGATGTGCAAAGCAGGAGGAGGAGGAGGAAAGGAAATCAAGCACAGTTCTTCAACCATTCACCGTGTGCGCCTTGAAAAGGAACGCCGTGAGACGGGCAGTGGTCCATCATATTGCAAGAAGCAATGCCATTACGAAAGAGAAATGGACGAACAAGGATGCATCACCCAGAAACTCAGTTTCGACCTTAATTTCACGGAAGTTAAAAATAGGGCCATCCGAGTTAAACAAACATTACTGCAGCAATCTTGACAAGGGCCCTTTAAGGGGGGGCATTTGTATGCTCCGCTGCAAATACGGTAGGGGAGGCGACGGAAGCATAATGCTTGCACAAGAGCAGCCTTGAAATATCACGCGGTATTTCAGAGGCAGACTCTGCTCTCTGGCTGACGGCCCCCTCGCACGCTCTTGACCAGACCCCGGCTCTGCTCAGCACGGCGTTTCCTGCCATCTGGAGAAAGGCAGCTCGTGTGACCTGCAGGCTGCGGGCCACAATTGATCCTGTTACCAGTGTTCTGAAAGAAAGACCTGCTGACTAAAGAGGACTTTAGGGGAAGTGAAACCCAGAATCCAGCGCAACGTTCTGACAAATGCAGTTTCACCGGGACGGAGCAGGCTTTTAAGTGAATGAACCAGGCAATTAACATTAGCATTTTTCTTCTAAATCAGTTAAAGTGCAGGAGCAATAAATATTGATTCAATTCTGACAGAACGTCATAATTAAAGCCTGTTTCATAATTCTGCTGCTTTAAGTGGAGAACATTGCTGGGTTTTCGTGATACTGAGCCTGTCGATCTGTTCAAATGAGCTTTTTGCAAGTTTTGGCAGCTTTTCTCTCCATCCCTGCCACCGCTTGCCACATTCTCCCTGCGTCCCCCACCCCAAGCCGCACCTCTGCCCCATACCCTGCAAGCTCTTTGGGGAGTTGCTTTGCGTCCATGGCTGGTCCACAGAAACCCAAAGAGGGGAAAGCTTGCCCCCCACATGACCACAGCCCTTGCAACTGCTTCTCTAACACAACATGATGTAACACTCCTTCATGGATCACTGCCTTGTCGTGGCGAAGGGGCTTGCACAGCTCAATGAAGCTATGAGCTATGCCATGCAGGGCCACCCAAGACGGACAGGTCATAGCAGAGAGCTCTGACAAAACGTGCTCCACTGGAGAAGGAAATGGCAGCCCACTCCAGTATCTTTGCCATGAAAACCCCATGGACAGTACCAAAAGGCAAAAAGACATGATGCCGGAAGATGAGCCCCTCAGGTTGGAAGATGTCCAATATGCTACTGGGGAAGAGCAGAGGGCTGGTACTAGTAGTGCCAGAAAGAATGAAGCGACTGGGTCAAAGCCGAAAGGACACTCAGTTGCAGATACATCTGCAACTGAGTGTCCTTTCGGCTTTGACCCAGTC